ATGAATACCAAAATCCATGGATGCTCAAGTCCCATTAAATACAATGGTATTTCTTATATAAAATGGCAAAATCAAGGTTTGCTTTTTGGAATTACAGACATGACGGACGTGAACAATAAATTACACTTGCACATTGCTGCAACAGACTGCACATGGACAATGGGTTATCAATCTTGTGCATTGAACATCGATCCAAATACACCACACTAGCCTGTTATTCAGTCTAGGGTTGCATAATGGATATTTATGGTATGCTGAGGTGACGTAGGGTCTGACATGGAGTTACACCACAACCTCATTAGTGAATTAGAGTGCCAAATGCACATGCACATCTGCATGTGGAATTTGTAATTTGCACCAATGAACGATGCAAAACTATGTGCAATGGCACAAATGTGCAGCTTTGCTTTGGCAGCCGTGAGCTGACTATGACTTTCCATGTTAGACAAAAATGTCCAACTGCTCTTCTAGGGAAACATTACACTTCGGTAAGAGGCCAACTGGATTCCAAAAATGGATTTCATCACCAAGTCCACAGTTTCTGCATCCATTTTTCTCCCTCACCAAACTAAGCAAGCTGGTCTTTCGTGAAACACGTACCTATTGAGCACAGGCATTAATAGAGAACGCAACACCAAAATACTAGAGTGCACTTTTAAAATATAGATCGCGAGGCTGTGAATAATTTAAAATGGCAGACTGCGTGTCAAAATGCAGATGTTTGCGGAGGGAGACGGGGAGGAACAGAAATAACTCCTTTCCAAACACACTTTCTCTTTCTCTCCGCGCTTCCCCCGCTCACACAGAGCCAATTCTGAACAGCACCAGCCCAGAAAGTATATGCAGAATTACACAAAGAACTGAAAGGTATGCAAATGCTTCATACCATTCATGGCAAGCATGTAGATTTGTAGCTTTCAGCCTTTCTGCTAGACCTACCTTTTAGCATAATCTAAAACAAGGGAACCTAGTTACAAATCTTGTCCTTCTTTTGTGTTAAAGAAAATGGCGGCTGCATCACAGGTACAACCCACCTGGAGGGCAGGGTGTGACCTACTTGTCATCTGAACACTACTTTTCAGCATTGCTTTTCTCCTCTGCCTGCTTCTCTCTCCTGTTTTTATGCAGCACAGAAAGGCTGGGGGAAAGGTGGGAATGGGGCAGAGAGAAATCAAGCAGGCATGGAGGGGACAAAGGATTTTATTCAAGACCATACAGCTGCTAACTTTTATTGAAATTATCTGAAAGACCTTTAATCCGTTTTACCTAGCCTATGTCAAAATGGGCTGCAAAAAAGAGAACATACAGGTTGAGTCTCCCTTGTCTGAAATGCTGAGGATCAGAAGTGGTTTGGATTTTGGAACATTTGCATATCTATAAGGAGATATCTTGGAGACAGGAGCCAAGTCTAAACATGAAATTCATTTCTGTTTCGTATACACCTTATACACATAGCCTGAAGGCGATTTTATACACACTATTGTAAATAGTTTTGTGCATGAAACAAAATTTGTGCGCATTGAGCCATCAGAAAACAAAGGTGTCACCATCTCAGCCAACCATGTCGACAATTTTACCAGGCGTTATCATCTTTTCCAGGGAGTCACGTCATCTCACTATTTGTTGTTGTTGTGTGCCTTCAAGTCGTTTCCAACTTATGGCAGCCCTAAGGTTTGGGGTTTTCTTGGCAAGATTTGTTTAGAGAGGTTTGCCAATGCCTTCCCCTGAGGCTGAGAGTGCGTAACTTCTTTCCCAAGGTCGTCTAGTGGGTTTCCTAGCTGAGTCGGGAATTGAACCCTGGTCTCCGGAGTTGTAGTCCGATGTTCAGACCACTGTGCCATGCTGGCTTTCATCTCAAGAGGAGATTAGGATGTGTGAATGCAACATTCTGTAAACATGAGTTATCATAGATTAACGTTGGTCAGAGAACTGGCACTAGACCCAGCTCTCTGGCAAGAAAATGCTCTAGAGAACTCTGTTTTGGCTATTGCACAATGTACAAAACTATCCTCTGTTTGCAGGTTTCTGGTCTTCCCCTATCACCACCCCCTCCTTGCCAGCATGAAATGTCCAAACATGCTTGGCAAAGCAGCTGGTACCATCCACCCCACTGTTTTGGCAATAAATCTGTCAGACAAATTGCTAACAATAAATCCATTCTGTCTCTCTCGCCCCTTCCCTGATTAAACTCCAGAACTCTTGCATTTGGCCAATTCATCTGAGGTTATCACAACGGCCTCCTTTCCTCCCTCTTTTCAATACACCAATCTTCCTGCCCTTCTCTTACTTATGGCAAACTGCTTCTTAGCATTGAGGTTTCATGCAAATCCAGGGTGATCAGACATTCTCCTTTTCCAGGACACATCCTACATTTGAGCCTTCTGTCCAGGAGGAATTCCAAAATGTCCTCTATGTTCAGCATGACTAACAAGTATATTCCAAAATGTCCTCTATGTTCAGCATGACTAACAAGTATATACAGTAACACCATGTTGGTTGTTCTCCTTTGAGAAATTTATCTACTTGGCAGCCTGTCCTTGTTGCAAATAGGGAAGATAAGCTGGACCTGGATCCTTCTAAAGTTCTTTTTTCCAAGGAGAAGCAGCAGATAAGACTCGCACCCAAAGCTCAGGCCTTTTTGTTTCTCAGAAGGGAAAAGGACTGCAATGGGCTGCTTGAGGATACAATGCAAATATTGAAATGTTTGTGTGTGTCCCTCCCCTTAATTTCAGCATAATGGACAAATGAAATGAATAATTTAAATGTAGATTCAATCAAAGATTTGTTGTTAGAAAAGTGCAATTTTAAGCATTTGTCTTGCTTCGGGTTCTGTAAGTATATTGCAAGCCAACGAGGCATTTTAACAGAAAAATACAGTTGAGTACATAATAAAATACAGTATATGCAATACAGCTGTAAATAAACCACATGAAATGAATGTATATTTATATTAGTGTCCCTAGCTTTTACTCTGGAACGTCCTACATGT